TTACAGTTTACAGTGATAACAGTGACACATTACCACACATATTCATGGTGATTTTGGAAACAATGGGCACTCAATTTCAGACATTGGTAGACAAATATAGGTTTCTCATTTTTTCTGGCAACTATCAATTTTATGTGTATGCTTGACTTTAAAATGGCAATATTGATTTGTTGCTTGTTCATAAAATCAATAAGTTTCATCACTTTGTTGATATAATACAACTTCATATGACCATTTATTTCTTAAAGTTTTTGTTTGTATCAGTTTTAGTACCTATTTTTGAATTAAATCAAATAGCTTTAGAAAAAAAGCTGAAAACAAACAGCTGTTGTTAGTGGACAAAGGCATGAAGACACACACAGAGACAAGGTTACTGTTCATGTAGCAGGACGCTAGCGGCAATGACCTCCGTTTTTAGTTTATTTAAATAATTCTCTGTGATATTCATGCAGGCCCATGACACACACACACACGTGCACACTCCGGACTCAGGGCGAGGGTATTTATAAAGCCTCACTGCTATGTCCCCACATCCTGACACACATACCTTTACCTCCATCATCTACATAGCACTCCTCATTGTGCTCCCTGTCTTCTTCCCTCTCATACCACAGCAAAGGAGAAATACCGCCAGTATTTACCCTGAGGGCATACACCAATTGGAAATACTTAAATCACCAGCTTTCCCCTTTGATCGTCTTCAAACCCTCCCTCTCATCCTGACCGTCCTTAACAAATAAAGTTGGATTGGATTGGATTATTCTGATTCTCTCTATATCTAATCTTTCCACTCATTTAAAGTAGTTTTTTTCTGAATTTCACATTTCCGGGACAATTTATTTGTAATGAAAAAAAGAGTTTTATTTTTTTTTGCCTCTGGTGGCTCACACTGACCCTTCATACTAGGCACTGCTTTTGTACTTTTTTAATTATTTTGTCACTCAACTTTGTTTTTTACACTATGTTATCAATGCATCAATGCTTCTTCCTCCTCCTACTACTACTCAGTATTTACTTACTACTCGCTGTGCCACTAGTTTTACTTCCTAACTCGTGTCTCTGTTCACTTCTGATCATAATGTGAATTGTTTTACTGTTGATGGTTACGGTAAGCTAACATTACCAACCATAAGCTACTGGTCACTCGAGACCAACTGAGGCTGAAGCAGCAAAACCCCTGACTTTACTAAATTGAGCAAGTGTGGTGGTTTTAATTCTTAAGAATTTAAGTTTTCATTTGTAAGAAAAAGAATGCGTGATTTCTTTTTTTAAGTTACATGGTCTCCCTTTAAAAGTTTCTAAAATACTTTGAGGAGCAAAAGAAGATGACATTGCTGACAGTTTGGAGCCGGAAGGTCCAAGCATAAATGCATCGTGGATTAAGTGTGATTCAGTCGTCATTCCTACAATGACAGACTCTGTGTTTGCACATTGACAGTTCGTTTTAGGCTACTTCTGCATGTGACTCAGAACTGCATCAGACTGTGACAAATTGAAAATGACTCTATAAAGTATAAACAAGTTTAAAGAGGCCAAATTTGGCAAGTGTTTGCTTTACTGGCCTAATTGTTAAAGAGTATAAAAAAAAGCATTCTACCGTAACTTAAATGATTATTCTTATTAAATCCACGTTCGGTTTTATTTTTGTATCTTTGGCAATCACTGCTATCAACGTGCTATTATCAGCAACAATGTGGCAAGACAGCAGCGGTCAGATGATCAGACATAATAGAAAATAATGCCAGATTATTTAAATAATTTTATTTGGAGGTAAAACAAAAGTGAGCGTACCTAAAACATCTGTCTCCTTCAATGCACTTCCTGTGCAATGAGGTACAACTAGTACGGTAGGTCAGAGTTGGACCAGAACGTTGGCTAATGTGACAAACCTGCTCATGTTTCTTGTCTCATATGACTTCTTTTTGGCAATTCCGCCATGAGTTTTTGCATTTATTTGTGACAGAAATTATGTCTGAAACTATGAAAAGACCCAAGTTGTAATAAAAAAAATTCAAATAAATAATCTATACACTTTTTCTCACACGCTATTTTCACCCACCCCTTCCTTTGTTGCAGCACACAGTGCATCTCGTAGCTACTACAAGAGCTTCCCGCTAATGGACTTCGCCCAGTACCAGCCTGTGGCACCTCCAGCCTTCCAGCCAGTGGCCGTACAGCCTAAAGAGAAGTCATACATCCACCAGCCTGTGTCGGCACACCACGACCTCCACGGCCCCCTCTCCATCTCCATCCCCTCCAGTCACCTGGAGCAATCGCGCCTCCCCAAGACCACAACACACCCGCAGCTCTCCAGCTCGGCCTTCAAAGCCTGGGAGCCGACCGGCCGCCACATCCACAGGCAGGCTTCTGCTCCGGGGCACGCCTCCTCCTCCATGCACAGCTCAAGCCGGAGACATGGTTACTCGACCCGGAGGCAGCAGAGCATCGAAAACATGCCAGATCTCTTTAGCCAGCCTTATGGGGGGATGTATGGAGGAGCTGGAGCAGGTGCAGGGCAGGGGCAGCATGTACAGGGGCAGCATGTACAGGGGCAGCATGTACATGGGCAACATGTACAAGGGCAGCATCCATCTCAACCCCCCTACTACCACCACACTAGGCAGAAGAGCTACTCCACCCACAGTACGACTGAGGTGACCGTCTGAACACCAGCGGCCTGCTGCAATGTTAAACACACACGCAAAAAGTCTTTGGTGTTAGCTAAATGCCAGAGTTTGGACCAGATGGCCCAACAGGTGAGGGATATTAAACGTGGAGACACATTCAGATTTATGAGACGAAAAGGAATGAAATTCAGGAGGAAACAGCGTAGCAGAACCACCACTCTTACAGATAATGGACTCAGCTGGTAAAGGTTATTATTGGCCTCCAGCAAGGGTCTTGTACATTGATCATAAAAAGTATGTATAGACTGTACCTGAAAGGTAATCTACCATGGTTGCTTAAAACTACTCTCAGGCTCCTATAGGTCACACAGCGTTCACAGATTCTTAACCACTACAGTTTTGGCGCTACAGTGTGGTTTCATTGTACAGGCTTTATAGCAATAGGGATAGGACAAGAGAACCACCCCTAAAGCAGGGGGCAAGCTTGATTTTGTCTGCCAAAAGGTCTTATATGTGAGTTTCCTGGCAGGAATGAACAGAGAGTTTGTGTTCGCCAAGTTACTCCGGTTAAGTTTTGGTACAGTAGGTCATCAGTACATGTGGCTGCAAGACAACAACCTGACTCACGGTCAGGTACGGTTGTTAAAAACATTCCACAATCAGCCCGTAGCTGACAAAAACTGCATCCAGGTCCCTCACAGGGCTCACACTATTTGATGTAAATGTGGGTCATAACCTTTAAGATCCATTTCTGTGGTTCACCTATGGGCTCAAGAGTTAGACCTCAGGAACCATTCACATGAATTTGGAGGTAGAGTGAAAATCTTTCACCTTTATTGGCAACCACTGCTCCCTCCCCCTTAAAGGAATAAATTGAGAGATAGTTGGGAAATGTACATACTTTCTGGCAGAGAGTCAGATGAGAATATTTATACCACTCTAATATCTGTAAGCTAGGCTCCTGCCAGCAACAAGTTAGCTTAGCAACAGTGACAAAATACTGCACTGAGTCTTGTTGTATCATTATTACACTTTAGTTTTGCACAGATCAAACACAATATATAGCGTGTTCATTAATAAACTTCAGAGGTGCTGCTCGGTGGATTTTGTTACCTTTAAACCGAGCTAGACCAGTTGTTTCCCCATGTTTCAAGTCTTTATGCTAAGCTAGGCTAACTGGGTGCTGGCTGCAGTTCCATATTTACTGTACAGACATTTTAGTTATATCAATCTGCTCATCTAACTCTCTGTGAGAAAGTAAATAGGATAGGGTGACCATATTTCCAAATTCCCAAACCCTTAAATGTACCTAACGTTTATGCACGGGAATGTGCTAATGCACGCACCTTTCAACAGCATGGGCACCATGAGTGCAAGAATTTAATCGCCGGATACTTTACAAAGGAGTAAGTCTCCTGGAGCTCTTTAGAAAAGACCAACTTTGTCTTAGGCACGACAGCTCCCCGCATACCGACAGTAGCAACAGCCTTCAGAATGAAACATCGATTGATTGACACACATACAGACAAATCACTGCTGAATTGAGACGCATGCATTGTTTATGTTTTTATATTGTGTTAGGTCATATTGAGCGCGAGACAGAACATGATTAACATCTATGTTAAGTGCTGAAAATAAGTAGAATATATTTTAGTGTTGTACAGATATTTGTTGGGACTCAGGACAGCCAGTTTGAAACCAGAATAATCGATACTTCTGGTCACTGTAGAACAGACATTTTCCAAAATGTCGAACAGACGTTCAACAGAAACATAAAGTAAAAAAGTTAATATATCGTTATGATAAATACTAGACTATAATAAGCTTCTTACCATTTTGGCACAAACATGACATTTATAGTATTTTCACTCAAATGCTTTGCAGAAGTGGTTGAGAAATATAACTCCCGTAAATGGGAGGTAAAAATCCAACTTATGTTTTGCATTAATGGAGCATAAGGGTTAAGAATGATACCCCAGTTGGTAATAATATTTAAATTATATAACTATATCTTTGAAGGCTGATAAATTTACATTTCTCCCCTTATTTAACTGCATCACGAAAAAAATCATTCAGAGAAGGCTTTAATTAAGATTTAATTTAGAAGATTTAAGAATTAAGTAAGATAAGCTCCATGTAATTTATATAACATAAGATTTTGTTTCAGTGTAATCATAAATCATCTCAAGGTAACACAGTTCAGGTCATTTCCAGGCCCCGTAGATGCCTTTTTGTGCAGTTCTTTGTTCCCTCCTGTATTTCTTGTAAAAACGGTTCTACTATTTTGCATCTCTCGGTCTACCTCCGTGCACAGCTGTATTCTCCTCATTTCTTTCTCACCCCTTTCGGCCTTTCCCACCCTCTTTCCACGATGAAGCGCTTTGCATTCTGTGCCATCAGGCCAAGCATACATGGACAGCATCCCTGGGGTCACATTAACTCGACGGTGAGGACAATGCCACCATCATGTCAGCTCCCATCAGCCTCCATCCCGACCAGAGAGAGGGAGAGGAGGAAAGAGAGGGACAGAGGAAGAGCCAGAGGCTGGTACTCTTTAGAAAAGAAGAGAAAGGGAGGAGAGAGAAGAGAAAAAATAGAAAAACAAACGTACATGGCTGCATGCTTTCCTTCCTCGGGGGAAGGAAAGAGAAGGAGTCACTGTAGATCTGGGTCTCTCACTACTGAACTGTCTGGGTCATAACTCAGAGTATGGACGTTTGTGGATGCCTGTGCGTAATTTCCAACCCCCAGGCACCATTGCAGGGGGATTCGCTGAGGCATTTCCAGGCCTGGAGTGTGAGACATTTCTCATCTTGTCTCAGAAGCCTGGACAGCAAAGGACACTGTGCAGAGCTGCTGCTATGAATGTGCAACAGTTAATGCAACGCATCCACTGTACTAGTTGATGAAAGTTTATGGCTGTAACACCCTCAGGAACTGCACAATGAAGTGAAGTGTTAATGATTGCACGTGTGTCCAGAGACGCTTCAATGAGGTTCTGAGTAGAGATGATTTTATGATGTTAAACCTTTAATTTTTAAAGTGTGAGGTCCTGTGTATAGCTGAATTAAGAGTCAAATTAAAAGATAAAAACAGGTAAAACAGAACCAAGAACAAACACAATTAATGGACAAATCACACAATATAACACAGCTCTACTAAATGAGCACTGGCTAAACATCTCTTTCCACATATTCCACATTCTCTACACATATAAACGGCAAAAAACCCCACTGTGGTTGCAGTAAAAAAAGCACGTCTCTTTGTCACTGATGGCATGTAAATTCACCATACTTTTACCATACTAGCTTTGGAGACTTCTTCACCCATATCAAGAGATGAATCAGACCTTAAAGGACCAGTGTGCAGTGTGATTTACTACCATCTAGTGGTGAAGTTGTGAATTGCAACCATCTGAATGCAGCTCAGCTTCCTAAAGCGTTAGACCTCGCACTGCCGACCGTGATCGCGTGACAACGTGACGTCACGGGAGCGAACGTAACCTATTTATACATGGTGGTCTCGACAGCTAGTTGCCAGTATTCTCCTGAACAAGAGGTGGCCACACTGAGCAAAGGCTACCGACTTTTGCCTCATTTCTACTGCACTAGAAGAAGAAGAAAAAAGGTAAACCAATGGCGGCCCCTCCATTTTTTGATTTTCCAAATAAGGTCGGGCGGAGGTTCTTCCCAAATTTTCCGGCAATATGGCCTCCCCTCTTTTCCAACATTCATGGCCGAAATGGTAGCAGATGCCTGTAGAGCGCACTTGCTCGGAAAAGCTTCCTGTTTCGCGGTTTGCGGCGTCTTCCACCTAAAAAAAAAGAGTGAGAGTGCCGACCAATTTGCAAGCTGGTGCAAAATCCTGGGGCCAAGCGAGATCTACGTCATTTTGACGTCACAGTGTCGCGCGACAAGTCTCAAGCGGCAAGCATACTTGGGCCTTAAGAGTGTAGGAGAAACTACGGTGGCCACAAAACTTGCCCTATTTAGAATCAGTGTTTGGTTTGTCCATTCTGGGCTTCTGTAGATACATGGTGGTTCAACATGCTGGCCTCCATAGAAGAGGACCCGCTCCCTCTGTAGATAAAACAGCTCATTATAAAGTAACAAAACCACAACAATTCTTATTTTCAGGTGATTATACACTAATGAAAACAAAACATTATGTTCCATTTTTTACCAATAGATCCTCCTAAATGTTACACACTGGACCTTTAAGTGCTAACGATATGCAAAATGTTCTAATAGTAGAAAGTGAGTGTTGTTTCCAGAAAAAGCAGGACTCACCAACATTTAGTAACCATTACATTTTAAGCATCTCTCTGTAACACACATGCAGAAGTGCTAGCTTAGACGTCACAATCCCATACAGTCACAAAAGCTATGCAGAAAATAATGGGTATGAGATGTCAAACTAAATTCAAAATGTCCTGTTAAGATACAAACAGCTTAAGTGTGAACTGTAGGCTTAACCTTTGATATTATGTTGTAAATTAAGGAAGTACAACAATAGAACATTGTTAGGTTTCTATCTTCCCAGATGCAGGACATGTTAGCAAATGAGTGTAGTACAGTGGTCCCAACACCTGTTAAAGCCTGCAGTTAGATTTTATTTTTTGTGCCCACTTGAGGGCAGCAGAAATCAGCTGGGAACAACACTGGACATATTATCATCTTTGAAGCTGAATGATTGTAAGCAGCTCCCTGTTTACACATCTAGTAGATACAACGCAACATTATCATTCATCCAGCTCTTTAGTTGCTAAATGCTTCACTATGTTCAATCAGCTTCCTGCTGATAGCCTAATATGATGCTATGCGAGCAGTGAGAGTGAACCAGAACTATAAAGTTGTTGGTTATACTAGTCATCTGATTAATGGTTAAAAACATAGATTATAGCCCCTTTTAAAAACGTAGAAGACATTTTTGGAGTAGCTCTCGAGTGTATAAAAGAGTCCATACTTTTTTTATTTTTTGGATTAAAACACCTCAATCAGATTAACATTATCAAAGTAAAGCTAGGCTAATAAAGTTCT